ATGGCTGAACCCAGTGTCTGGAGGCCAGTGTCTGAAATTCTATTATAACATGTATGGGAGCACAACGGGTGAGCTGATGGTGCGTATTGAGCCGGAAGGCAAGAAGTCGTATCTCCTGTTTTATGAAAAAGGCAATAAAGGAATGGGCTGGAAAGGTGTAACGAAAGACATAGAAGCAGGTGTGAGATACAGGGTAAGTTGTGTCTTGTACAAAGGAATCTGTTCTTTATTTCTAATAATCTCTTTTCGGGCGTGATCCGATCACGTAGCAAATCTGAGACATGTCATCGACTAATCCCACCATAATTTGAATAGCTTCTGGAACCACGTCATCAGAAGCCTCCTGAGAAAAACGGAAAGCCACCCCCATTATCTCTTCAGGTCCTTTGATACCCCCCCTCCCCTACCTCCCCTCTCCTTCCCCCTCCTTCACTGGCTTTCAAGTCTAGGTAAGTATTTCGCATCACTTTTCATTCTTTAAATTTATGAGACCTCATGGTGACGACAACACTTTCACATTGTCATGAATATTGCTGTTTTGGGGACTGTCTTTAAAAAAATGATGTTTCAAAATGGATGTACATTAAAATGCACCTATGACAAGGTACCCAAAATTGTAACGACGCGTAGTCATTCGACCTCCTAGACTGTCCCCCAAAAATTATCATGTATAACAATAGTGACCCCATGACTTGACCATACGATCATAGCAAATTAATTATTGTCTTTTCTTCAGCTGACAATTGAGGCTCGTATTGGTGGAACTGGTTACTCTGATACTGCCATTGATGATGTGTTCATCGACCCTGGACACTGCGGTTGGTAGACACGTTTACAAAGAGAGTACATAAAAAATCACTTCGTCGTCTCCTTGGTTCCTTTTTATTTAACTTTCTTCTAAATAGAAGCCCGTGTGGGCCCATACGGGTCTCTAGACAAAATGCCGTAACTGTAATGTGCTAAAGGCACTCAGCTTGTTTGTGAGGGGTGGGGTGGGGTGAGGTGGGGGATACATTAAATTTAAAAGCTGCAAATATTCGTGAAAATAGGGAAGTTGGTGTTATCTTTTATCATTTTGGCGCTGTAATGCACATCTTACCTTGTTTTTTCCCAGGTTGTCAGGATACCTATTATAGCGGCTGCCCTAAATGGGCCGCTGCAGGAGACTGTAAGAGCAACGAAAAATGGATGAAGGACTTTTGCAAAAAGAGCTGTAACTCATGTCGTATGTATTATATATATTACGTGTCGGATGTACAATTAAACAGGTAAAATTCAAGGAACACGTAACAATAACAGTTTCATATATTCTAAATGCAGTTGTGTTTGATTCTATCAGCGATTAGCTGTCTGGACTCCGACGTTACCAACTGCCCCAGATGGGCTATTCAAGGTGAATGTGACACCAATCCATGGATGAAGGATAACTGTAAGAAAAGCTGTGGAGTCTGCGGTAAGTATGGAAATTATTGCCCTCCATTTTGCTCTCGTTTTCATTCATTAATGCCCTAAAGTATCTATCATTGCCCTCTCAACGCCCCCCCCCTCCCTCCCCCGAGTCTCTGTTGTCTCGCTCAACACATGCAGTAATATCAAAAACACGTGAGCAGTGTTTGATTTCATCTCCTCCACACACCTGGTTGAGAACACGACCCTGCCTGGAGTTTTGCTTAGGAAACTTGGGGTGATGTTAATGATCAACATTGACAGTAATGTTTCATTTCCATGAACCATGAATAAATCAAAGGTGTTCGGTTATGTCAATCACGTGATCAAAATTAAGTTAAGTTAAAGAGTTGATAGAGGAAAATACCAATCCGAGCCAATCGTGATATGAGTCATTAAGATGATATTTTCGAACCTCCCTCACGGTTCTAGTTACCCTCTTACAGGTAAAACAACCATAATAGGTTTTCTAAAATCACAATCTTACCGATCAGTTTACCAAACATAACCACAATAATACAAATAATTCCCAAGGTTTGAAGCCTCAGTAGCCATTTCTTAGGTTAAAAATTTCGAAAGACCTTCAACTGTCACATCACACATTACCCGATACATAACGTGTAAAAGCGTGAAGTATTTTATCAATTGAAAATTCAAGGATGTAAAGATGAATCTAGCAGTTGTCCAACCTGGTCATCACGTGCTTATTGTGAAACGAACTCTGATTTCATGTTGGCAACCTGTGCTTTGAGCTGCAAAGTGTGTGGTAGGTATTGTAGATATATCTTTCAAACATTTCTGTTAACTAGATCTCGGAAAAAAAGGAATCCAAATTCAAGCAAACAATCAAACAAAAATCAAGGAAAATGATTGACTGAAGCTTTTATGACGAATGAATGGCTCCTCTTCTGATATCAAATATTTTTTTTAAAGGCGCCGCAAATAAACATATTAAAAGTACCCAGCAATCGACGATTAAAAAGCTAAATCCTACTTTTACTTTCCGTAGAGGAGACTTTATCGTAGACACGAATTCGATTCTGCATGTATTTAGAATCCTCAGTCAATAAACAGTGATTTCCAGTCAAAACACCATTCATCTGACTGAAGAGAAAGCAGTGGTCACTTCAAGCAGTTATGGCCATTTTATCCTCAAATGTAGCTGCAATTTAATAATGGCTAAAGGCCTGATTTCCAGTCGATGTTTCGGAAATGGACTTGGATGTGATCCGAGAAGACGACAGGAATAGAGCTAAACTTTCAGCTCTTGCCCCCCCCAGATACCGGCTAGGAGCGGGCTGGTGTAAGCGGTGAAGCCGCGTGGCCTATGTTGAAAGTATGAAATAAAGCTTTTTTTTAAGTTGTGTGGATGAAAGTAGATGGATAATCGCCACAGGTAAAGTGCACTTGGCAATTCTTGAAAAAATTAATAATCCATTTCATGGATTACTTGCTATTTCTTTCTAACAGTTTGGATCACTTGGACAATAATCTTGACCCCATTTTCGTTTCTTTTCACAATACTTAAGTAAAATCTATTTCTGAGCAATTGTTAATGCTTTTTTTTCCTTTTTATTGGTCAGCTTGTAAAGACCTAAGTCCTAGCTGTCCATCGTGGGCCGAACAGGGCGAGTGTGGCAAAAATCCAACTTATATGCTTGATAACTGCTGCCGATCGTGCCGTAAGTGAAAGTTAACTTTCATTTTATATATTTTTATCTGTGTTAGAAACATGCCTTCCTTTTCTAAAAAACCAAATTCACTGACATTGATGGTTCATGTATCCTTCACAATAATCTACTCGCCAATATAATTTATTCCAAATAGAGTTTATCAAGCAAAAATTACCTATAGCCAAAGGAATATTTGAATTGAAAGTTGCCTTTGTTGACTGAGTTTTAAATATATTAACTTCCATCTCTTATCACAGCCTTTTCCGTTTTTTGACAGGATGTAAGAATTGGGTGAAAGATGGAGACTGCTCTACCTGGGCTTCGGCAGGTTACTGTAATTCAAACCCATCGTATATGCTTATCAACTGCAAGGAAAGCTGCGCTGTATGTTAGTCAAGGCAAATCATAGCACTCACAAGATGCTTAATAATCAATTGAACGCCACTGGGAACATATGGAGTACTTTTCATTTGAACTTCGTGAGAAATCTGGGTTCGCTAAAAAATTGTGATTAGCTTTAATTCGTAGATATTCCTAGAGAAACATAAAAGGAAAAACTATATTCGCGCTAAGTAATCTACCAATCAGAAACAACATCAAGCTCAATAACCATCTAGTTAGTCAAATTTTCCCGCGCTTCCGACAGCTTGCTTGTTTTTATATAAGCTTTCGTTATCTTCCTCACATATTTCTTTTTGCTCTGACTGGACTTTTCTGCAAATTTGATTTTTGTTTTCAAGATGCTCAGTTGAAATGTGCTCTATCTATTGAGCCCTCCAGTCATATCAGCATTTAAAGATTCGTTTGATAAAAACCTACGGTGAAAGGGTTTGTGGTATACACATGTATTATGGTGTGCAATGAATAAATCATAACGTTACTGCCGTCTCAGATTATAATTTTCAGAAAATTTTTTTTGTCTTAATTTCTCCTTTTTCCCTCTTGAAATGCAAGTGATTTTTTTCTTCTTTTTTCGGTGTGTTTTCGTTGGGTTGTGAATGGCCTGGGGGCAGGTGCTTATTAGCGCGCGATACAGAACGAGCAGGAAAGCCAGAGCCGTCAACTCAACAAAACGAGCACCGTGATTGGTTGATTCTTGGTCACGTGCCCCTGATCAAATTCAATTGTATCCTGACCGGGATACAATTGACTCTTTAAAGTCAAGTATCGTGTTTGGCTCCGTCAGATAATTAAGGGAACATATTGAAAGCTTTACATGACAACAAGTTCCACAAGAAACTGTTGCATTGGATTGGTGGTATTTCTCTACCAGTAAGAATATTAAACGAATGAAGAATCACCAGAATTTCGGTAAATACTTTTATAAAAGAGAGTTTGATGATGGGCTTATGATTTTGCTGTGAAGGTTGACGCGGGTTCATTAAAAGTTCACTTCCTTCTATACAGAATATCGTGCCGAGACAGCCATAAAGGAACATGATAAACATGTCCTACGTGCCTCAGCTCGAGTTAACTTTCTCGAGCTTACCCAAACACCGTAGCATCCATTTTGGGACTCGTTGTTTAACATACATATATATATTTGTTGACGTTGTTGTTTCATGGATATAAATTCAAAAGAAACCAGCCAAGAGTTAATTGTACTGAAACAACTCACTTATCATTATTTTCATCCTCTATATGGTTTAACAACCTAAAATCGATGAAAATTTCACTGACGCCTAATGGATAATTTCAATATTTATTCATTCAAGACCCAAGTGTTACAAAAGCATGGTTTGATCATGACACTGCAACCTAGAAGCAGCACGGGGGACAGTGGTTAAGATCTGATTCCGCATACCAAGAAAAACTGCTGAAGCACGTTTTGGCAGTTATTTAACGCAGAAAACTTGCTCGAAAATTCATTTTATATCCAGCATGGAGAAAGAAAGGAAAAATAGGGGCAAAATTTTCTTGACTATTGCTGTGACCGTTAACATTTTATTTAGTGTCGTCTCTATCGGGTTCCTTATTTACAAAGTACGATCGTTAGAGAGAGATCGTCAGCTTCAGAAAGACTCATCAAAGACAGGCCAGACAAGAGAACGACAAAATGAAGCCTGGGATGACTTAGCACATCGAAGAAAAAGAGCTGCTGAGTCTCTAGGAGAATCAAAAAGCTGCACTACTTGCCACAACGCTTGTGCCAAATTATTTGGACTAGGAGCTTCGGCAAAGGTAAGTGCTATAAAACTATCTTGGCTAAAACGTAGCCGTCATTCTCGAGTGCGACGTTTGCCAAAGTCAATATAACAGGTCAATATGACAGCTCGGCCTTGACAGAAACTGAAATTATTAAATCTCTGAAGTGCATGTTATTTTGCTTTTGGCTTCCTAAATCAAAAGGCCCCGGCAGGCTACTTTTGGACCTGTTATTGGTCTTTTGTTTGAAGTTTATTAATTCATAAATGCCTAGCAGTTCGAATTTACATAACAAAAATGAAATCATACAAATCTAATCATTAATTTATCTATCTTCAGTAAAATGATGAAAAAAAGCTGTTAAAAAAGGTATCATAATACAAGCTGCGAAATTCGAAACTCTTAACTATAAATTAGGTGGTAATTTAGTGTTAACAACTGCGTTGAAAACGTAAATTGGCTATCACTCTTTACGGTGGTCAATTTACGTTTTCAACTCAGTTGTTAACCCTAAATTACCTGCTATACTCTCACACCGACGCAGCACCACTGTTTCTTTAGAAACTTACCCCCTTTATAAAATTGCTGCTTTGAGAAATGAAGAGATAATAAAGCAATTGTTGAAACGGTCGGTTTTAAAACGTGGCATGTTAAAAGGTCGCGCACGTCTTAATGAATAAGCAGTTTCGTGCGGTGCAGGTAATAACTTATAAAGGCGGTGAATGTTGTCATTTACAATTGTGTCAAAAGTGTCTCACGTATTTCCCGCGTCGTTTATACCTTTTTTAGGTTACTACTAAAATAGGCAACAACACAGATCAGCAGGTCATCTGCATGAGAGGTGAGTATGACATTCATCCCTAGTCACAGCAATTGTAAATCCTTCTACCGTATCGTCCTGCTTCCTGTTGCTTAGCAATCATTGCGAGGCGATGTTGAAAACCATAGGTGGAAATCTTGAGGTTTGAACGGGTCTACTCTTCCGAGTAGAATTCACGCGTCACATATTAATTTTGGCCCTACTAATACACATGCAAAATTTTCAGCATGCTTCTTGGCTGATAACACATCAATTAATCCCAAATAGTGCAGAAAGTTGACATTGAGTTCAGAAAGTTGAAAGTAAATTGACTGACAGGTAAGTCGCGAAAGCATTAACAGGGTGAACAGGTGTGGAGAAAGTAACAACTTTGCGTGACGCGTTACTAAAATGGCGGCCGAGAATGCTGTCACGTAGGTTAAACAAGTAACTTATCCGCCGAGATTTCGCAATCTGGACAGCCCTTGTATGAGAATAAGTACTCATGTAGATGTTTATGAGCCCTCAGAATACGATAAAAGGCCTTTTGTATAGTTATTAACATGATTTCGAGTTAAATTCGGTGTTAATAAATACGAATAAATTTTTCTAAATTTGGAATAATTTAGAAGTGCTTATTATACCAAATTGAAAGAGAAATCATATTATTATTTGTGAATAATGTAACTGAAAAAAAAGAGCAGCAGAATCCGAAAAGATAGAAAAATTTACTGCAACACAAATTGCTGCTCATCTTACCTGATGATTGGATAAACGCTTCTCTGCATAACAGGAGGACAAAATAATATCTATGATCTCGTCAAGCTTCGTGATACTCGTGTGGCACAAGTCGCCGGAAAAATCAAACATATTTTCATACAATTCACAAATATTAATTATAGATAAAAAGGGAAATTGTGGACTTACCCTATGAATCGTACCTATAAAGAACCCGAAGAGCTCAAAGATTTCTCAATTTGGAAACAAGAAATTATCAACACGTTCGTTTTTCTATATTTTATTGCAGGAGCTCAAGGACCGCAGGGTGAGGATGGGCCCCGGGGACGTCGGGGTCGCCCAGGGTACATTGGAAAGGCCGGGAAAAGAGGCCCTCCTGGAGAGCGAGGCCTTCCAGGCGCCAAAGGAAGACCTGGTAAAGCTTTCTCTGGAAATACGTCACAGTTGATAGAGAGTTTAGGTAAGAAGAAAGCATCTCGTTATTTCTCAATCGAGGATGGTGCTCTCGCACGATCATAGACTTTTACCTGATCTTCAGTATCTCAAGCTTGCTAATACAGCTGCCGCTCCTACCCTGATATGCACTTCTATTAAAGACGGTGGAAACTTACAAACAGAGTTGGGGAGGCCGAAACAGGTGATAAACTGCAAAACAAAAATTTTGCGACACAATCTCGGACAGATAGAGAGCCACACAGCTTCTATCGTTTCCCAGTGAAAACGTATTTTGAATGTGATAAGCCCATGGAATCATAATTTGTCGCACTGGTTTTTCAGTGGGGTCCAGTGAAGAAGAGCTGCAAATGAATTGAAAACGGATGGAAGATATGCACGTTCTGTTTTTCTAACCACGTTCTCTTGATCATTTATTCATTTAGATGTACCCAAGATAACAAGGAAACCACCAACCAGCTTCACAGCGAACGAAGGAAGCAGAGTGTCCTTTTCCTGCGAATCTGTGGGTTTTCCCAAACCAGATATCACCTGGTATAAGGATAACGAAAGGATGAAAAGTAGACATTTTAACAAGGAGAAAGGGGAGATCACTTTTTCTAGTGTTCAGTTCAGCGATCGAGGCTCCTATAGGTGCGAGGCAAGGAATTTCTTGGGCGTCGATTCTGTGACTATAGAGGTTGCTGTCGAAGGTATGCAAACTTCTTAGGCGGTAGATATTGTCAATGCTAAAACTCAAATGGGTTTGATTTGCTTTTTTATTTAATTTTCCATCGGTTTATTTGGATACATGGAGGGTATTACATTTTTTTTTTTTTTTTTGACAAATAAAATGTTTCCTGAGATTTTTTCAGACAATTTCTTTCAGTTCGACCAAGATTTGTTCAGAGGCCCGAGATATACCACCCGGGCTACGAAACTTGGGAGACGACTCTATCATGTAACATCTTTGGTTCTCCTCCGCCAAAGATACAATGGACTCGCTCATTTCGGCCTTTACCTGTCGAGCGTCACGTGGTGATTGGAAAAGATTTGGTGATCAAAGACACTCGGCAGGAAGACAGAGGACCCTACATGTGTCGCGGAGAAAATCACCTGGGTCACGTGTATGCACTTATTGTGCTCGTTGTGAAACCTGTCAGTAAGTGGATAAAGTGCTGATGTATTCTCAAGCTGAAAATTTGTAAATATGCATTTTGTGTGACTAATAAGGCTCCTTAGAACTACCTCGTAGTTTTTCTCAATAAATATAATTCGGCTAAGTGGTGACAACTTCAACCCTTTTCCATCTCCTTCCACTATCGCGTCATTATCGGGTATCATCGCAAGCTTCTTCATGGCCTCTGAATTATCTTATCACTCCTTGGCGCACGAGTCTGTAATCGTTTAAGGTGAAACCTTGGTCATGAGGGAGGCTGATATAAAAAACTGAACAGCGATCTGGCGACAAGCATCTCAAAGTAACGTTGTCTTTGGCATAAGATAAACCAACGGTTTTGTTTCTCTCCTTTTTTTACTCTCAAAGCTCCCCCGGTGATCACTACTGCACCATCTTCCATTCTTAAGGTAAGAAACATCTTTGAAAAAGTAACTCTGCAATGTGCTGCCCGTGGTTCTCCTGTACCCAGTCTAGAGTGGAGCAAGGATGGAGTGGTTATTTCAAACAACAGAACTTCAAAGACTGACAGAGAAGCAGCTTCTTGTCAAAGTTGGGTATCCCTATCAATTCACTTAAATTTCCAAAAATATGTCATGATAAAGACAGTTATAATTATTGATTCTAATTAACCTTATTTTAATGCCTAAGGCAGTATGCTGTACCATATGTGACAGCAGTTCCGTGGCAGTATGAGCATTTTCCGGCTCTTTTAAAATAATGGTTAAAATGCCAGTCATCATCACCAAACTGGTGAATAAGATTTATTAACTGATCGATCAAATGATCGATTGACTGATTTTCAGAGCTCGTTGGATGTGGAGACCCTGGTGTCCCTGTTAACGGATACAAGGTTGGAGAGAATTATTGGGGAGGAGAGATGGTGACTTTTGCGTGTGACGCAGGATACTACTTGGAAGGACCTACAAACAGACTGTGCTTGGAAAATGGCAACTGGAGTAACGTGGTGCCGACATGTTAGAGCAAACTATTTTAGCCCCCAATCGTCCACTGTCTCAGAGGACACACTTAAAATTGATCTAATTATCTTTCTATTCTACTATTTATAACATGAATCGTAAAAACAATTCCTCGTTTCTACTTTCCATATTTGCTGTAAAATACCATCCTGTGTCTTTAAAGCCCGAAAAATTACCAACTCTCCGGTAAGACCTAACCAATAAAATGATGAATGAGCTTCTCAAGGTTCCAAAACGAGGAATACAAGTATAGCATATTCAATATTCTGTTCAAAGTTGACAAGTTCTGCCCTTTTTTGTAATGCTTCGCTTGCCAAAAATTACTGCGTTCGACACACAAAACGACTAAAATGATATTGCTTGAATTAGGAGGATGCTGTACACAGTTTATAAATGTTCTCTATTCTTTCTCCAGGCCATCGTCTGTGCGAAGAACCTGCTCCTATTGAAAATGGTTACAGGATAGGAGATAAGTTCTGGAAAGGCAGAAACGTCACTTACGAGTGTAACACAGGATACCAGCTTCGAGGACCACATGTCAGAATTTGTAAGGAGAACGGAGAATGGAGCGAAGAAGGACCAACATGTGAAGGTGAGATTGTCTTCCCAGTTTTAAATTGCAAAAAAAATTTCTTTTTCCTTCTGCTTTTTTTAGTGCTCAGACTAATGGGAGAAGGTTATAGAATGCAGTATTGAGACAAAATTTCTTTTTCTCTTTTTTAAGTACTGAAAAACCTATCTAATCAATAATAGACTCCAAGTTATCCAAAACCCGATAACATTATAATTTCTGTCATTTTTAGGTCCAGTGTTCGAGCATTCAGAAATCTTACGAAAAAATACAGAATACTGGGAGCTCCTTAAAGGCTGGCTGGGCCCTGTGTCTACACTGCCAGCCAAGTGGAAGCTATGCTACAGAGCTACTGATCATGGATGGGGTTCCGGTACATTTCATTCCCAGTGTAACAATCTAGGACCCACGGTGACCTTCATAAGAGTGGGCGGGTATATATTTGGAGGATACACTGACCGGAACTGGCGTAAGTAAAGAAATCTTGGACTCATAAAGGCATCAAAAAATCATAAAAGATCTATTTGGGCTGAACTGTCTCGATTGTCCCAATTTTTGGTCATCAAGTTTCATGTTTGTGTGCCAACAGAAAAGAAAGAATCCTTGTGCTATTAGCAGCCTGTAGTCTCATGTTCATTTAGTCAATGGTCAAATTTACCTTCAAATTTGTGAATATGGCGGTTGTGATTTTCTTGAGATACCACCGTTGAGCGAGAAAGTACTCGAAGAGATCTTCAGTTCCCTATTAATGACGTTTTTTTTTTTTTCAGACTCAGGTGGCTCCTACACAGATTCAACCCACAGTTTCTTATTCTCATTTAAGAATCGCTATGGACTGGATCCGTTTAAGCTTCACATCAAGTATAGTGAGCATGCCATATACGGTAACAACGGTTACGGCCCAACATTTGGTGGGGGACACGACATTTCCATCGCCGACAATGCAGTTTCGAACACAAACTCTTACACAAACTTGGGTCACAGTTATGTGCAGCTGGCTGGCTACAAGTACGGTGATAGTAACACGAAAAATCTTTTAGCGGGAAGCTACAATTTCCAGCCTCACGAAGTGGAAGTATTTTATCAGACTTTCAAAAACTGATTTTAAACAACTGCTTAGACCGATTTTGAGCTGGTGTTAGTCAAGACAATTTAACTTGAAACTTGTAGTGCAAAGATGAATCTAAGGGAAAGCTTCAAACCTTTCCTCGTAGAATGATTCCTCACGCAAAGTTTGTAAGCTATTAGATAAAGTCATTTAACAATGGCGTTTTTTTTGTATAAATTGAATGGTCAGGAAAAACATTGCGGGTAGGAAAGATTTATCATCAGGATTTCTAAAGTGGTATTACTGTTTTAGTGCTAAAAATGTGCATGAAAAAATTACGCACTTCTGATTGGCTGAAAACGAGAGCATTCTCATATAGCACGAGTCGAGCAAAGTTTTGACACTCGTGCAAAATTGTAACACAGGTGCACACTACAAACAGCGCGCGCACGCCTTCAAAATTTCGCCGCTCCAGCAATTTTATTGTCTTTGAAAAATGTACTCGTACTTATTAACACCAAAGTGTACTCGTAATCGTGTTATTACCTTTATAAATATGAGATCAAACTTTGATTAACTTGAAATAATTTACGATGAGGCTCATAATGATAATAAAGTGTTTAATCATTATCGTTACTGATTTCCCCAAATGTGACTGGTGCATTGGCTGCTTTCGTTAAATGTATAATAAAACAATTATTGGATGAGGTTTTTGTGATATCCAGAATAATCAAGGTCTCGGTAAGGGTTATCATTATCAGCCTCAACCTTCGGCTTCAGTTGATAACCATACATCGACCTCGATTATTCTGGATATCACAAAAATCTCGTCAAATAGTTGTTTTTAATCATACTCGTGATTGACAAATAGGACCCCGCTTTGTAGACGTCTGATTACAGACCGAATTGGGCTCCACTCCCTCCCTTAATCGCTTCACTATCATCAGTGGAAATCTCGCCAATAATGTCTTTAGAGCACTACATTTCCACACTTCGGCAAATAATTTGGCAAATAATTATGAACCACTCGCTCAAATTTACCTTGTGATTATTCTCTCTCACAAGCGTTCCAACCTACTCAATGTCTCTCAATTTAGCTTGTTTTAAAAGAGCTTAGTAGGCTAACAACACCAAGAGGATTTAGCCCCACCTCTCCTCCCCTCCCCCCGCAAAAAAAGAGAGGGAAGAAAGCATAAGATTGTCTTTTAACTGCTCTTGAGAACCCAAAATAAGTTCTATAACCGTTGATAACCGTCGATAAGTTCGGAACGGCAGCACTCACAACTCTCGGCTTATTCGAAAAGAAACGCGCACTAAAACTTCCTGTTGTAAGCATGTGGAACAGTGACATATATGGGGCGATCAAACACATGCTGCATACATATTTGTTTGGTTATGTATAGATAAACGAAGTCACTTATAAATGTCAATCACATTAAGAATAATTAACGTATCGTACAATGTCCAATATATGTATTTAGACGAAATACATATAAATCTTAAACTTGAAACTGTGACTTCAAAGTTTTCATCTGTACAGGAGCGTTTTTCTCGGTCGAATTTATGATCTTGTGGCTGTTTCAGAGATGAAATTCTCCTAGTTACACCGAAAAAAACTCTATGAGAGTTCCGCTTTTGCTGAGAGTAGCGAAATAAAGATATTTTACGTCAGCCGAGTTGGAACAGAGATCCTGATCACCCACCGTGCAATAAGTTTACAGTACTTCGAGATCAACTTTATTATTTTTCGCTTTCAGGAGCTATAATAAATTGTTCTTGGGGTCATTTAACCAGTGTGATAATGTAAGGAGAGATTTGTTAAATAGATGGAAATGTAAAATTTTAATAGACACCTCTATATTAAACCCCGTACATGATTAAACGATGACACGGCATTTGATATCACATAAGAAATAAACTAAGCTTCTAGTGCGAGAGAAAATGACACCAACATTAACCTTAATAAATCAACAGCTAATGCACCTATATGCGCCTCCAACTCCTCTTTCCTTAGGAATTAAATTACCGATTTAAAATTAGTGCAAAGAACGCTTGACTTTCTTCACGCAATGACTCTTCTTGCATCTAACTCTGTCAGGTAGAAATAATCGTGCTTCTGACAACTTGGCCTAGAAGTAAAAGGGTCAAGCAAAGTTAAACATCATTGGAAAATGATCAGAATTAGTGACTCACTAATTCTAGTTGTCAAGCAAAAGTCCAGGGTTGGAAGGAACTTCTTCTCACTCTAAAGTAGACGACAAACATTTTCATTCAGGTTGAAAGAATAGTTTTCTACTGAGGCATGCAATTAATACTCTTCGTTCGATTTCATTCATCGCTTTGCATACGAGCAATAACCATGGCTTTGCTTCTGCACACAAGCTGGGTAATCACTTTTCCGACTCGTTACATCTTTAAAATGTGTCCAGTACGAATCCGAGTTAGTCAATCTTACGTGATCTTTAATTTTACCACTGGGTTTTATCAATTTTGTTCCCTATCATGGAATAACTTAGACAGGGGTTTTCTGTCACAGAGCTACTTTAATAAACAAAACTCCAGTTCCGAACGTTCCGCCTTTGCTGCGACTCACAAAACAGAGCATTGCGTTACTCTACTTTAGTAACACAAAACTTTTTCGACAAACAAAAAGCTGATCCATGCTCCTAGTTGTGAGAAGGTTCCGCTTTGGCTTCGACTCACGAAAACAGGATGTTGTGTTACAATACATTTGTCATACGGGAACATATTAAAAATGCGTGTTCATCACGCATCCTTCCCCTAGATCAAAATCGATATCTCCAGCGTACTCAGAGACCAAGAGAATTGCTTTCTTTTGGAGAGCTTTTTTTTATTACCTTTCTATGCTTTTGTTCCTGGTTATATTTGCCATCTTAAGTAACAAGAACGAATAATAAAAGAAAAAAGATAATGATTACCTGACTGTTTACAACTGTATAGTTGCTAATTCATATGACCGCTCGATCAGACATTTGATATCATCAGGAGATGGATCAGGCTTCCAGTGCAAGGGGAAGTGAAACTAAAATAGTTTTTTACCAAAAGTTTTCGATATTTTTGTGTTTTGCAGCATAAGATTGCATTAACTTCAACTTCTCCCTCCACTTCCAGCCTGAAAATGATTCCCTTGTCGGCAGTTACTTAAGGAAAAGGTGCAATGAGGTACTTGTAAATGAAAGAAATTTTAGACCGTGATTTCATGACAAAAAACTTTAAATAAACAACGTCAGCAAAATGCAGACATGTGTTCCTGTATAATTGAGCAAGTGAGGAAAGTGAGCTCGAAAAGAGCTTATTCCTGTCTGGTTTTCCACTGCTACTTAGCCGAGCAAACTTGGGCAAAGCAACATTCACTCCACTAATCAACTGAAGCTCGACAATGGAAGCAGTAAAGAAGTCGCGAGGCAATAGTTTCTGGACTATTGCCGTGATTTTAAACATTTTATTCAGTGTGATTTCCGTAGGGTTCTTTATCTACAAAGTGCACGTGTTAGAGGGAGAAGTGTTCCAATTGCGGAGCGACCTGAAGAACCAGGCAAAAGCGAGAGAAAGTGAAGATGCAGATTTGATGAATCGAAATAAGAGAGCTGCTGAATATCATGGAGAATCAAAAACCTGCACCAGTTGCCACAATGCTTGCGTTCAGTTATTTGGACTTGGAGCTTCTGCGAAGGTATTTATTAAGATATCAAAGCTACATATGTTATCTTTTTATAGTTTTTGATAACATAGTTCATTGTTCTTCGATTTTAAATCCATCATCTCGATCTCTGACACCTGAACAATTGACGAGCTAAACTACATACAGATCCTACGTTTTGCCTGTTCGCGCGGCAGACGTTCTTTTTTCGGGAAATGAAATTATCAGATCGATTTGTAAAGAAGTTATTTTCTTCTTGTAGTGCAATGGTTCGACGAATTTCGATTTTTTGGATGGTTTAATTTATTTTTCGGGTTTTTAGGTCACTACAAAGATTAACAATGTTACAGATCAAGACGTCATCTGTTTGAGAGGTAAGTGGCCGCTGAAACTCATCAATAAGAGTCTTCTTAATTACCTCCTCGTCATTGCCATCTGATATCGATAAGAAAAATTATTATGTAAACAGCGTGAGTTTACTTAGCACATATTTTTAGCAGTTATCCAAATGATCTTTTTAGATCAAATTTTGAATTGATATTTGCGTTTATTTCTTTTGATCTCACGGGAAGGGGGATATTTTAACTATTTTTTATTATGTCTTGTAAATAAATTCGCCTTTGTTGCGGAAATCCGGAACTTTTACGGTGCTGCTGATGATTTGCCATTTTCAAACCAACAAATGAACTCAATTTGAAATTTCCCTTCAGGAGCTCGAGGGCCGCAAGGTCGTGATGGGCCCCGAGGACGTCGGGGTCGCCCAGGTTACATTGGAAAGCCAGGAAAAACGGGTCCTCCAGGTGCACGTGGTCGCCAAGGACCCAGAGGGAGACCTGGAAGCGCTTTAGCAGGAAATACTTCCAGACTATTCCAGGATATAGGTAACATGGGATTATTTTGTTGTCTTCACCACGTTCTAAGATCTGTTTAAACTGTATATGAAGTTCCTGGATGAGTGCATCGCTAAATTCGTCTTCCGCCAATATCAGTCACTTTTCACTCTGAATTAGGAATGAAAATATCCAAATAAGAAAACGTCTGGTGGCAAACGCTGCATCACTCTTAAAGTTTACGTGAGATTCCAGTATCTGAAATATCAGAGTTGCATTTGTAGATTTGGGAGCCTTGAAAATTCTGTGACACAAGATTTTATTGGCTCCCTAACAACATCAATGTTTATTAGAAAAATGGGGGTGATGGAGGGATGCTTTTTAGAAATCGATCGGTCTCAAGAGCGGTTGGATCCCTTATCAGAAAACTAATAGCCATGTCATAGATGAACTAGGACCGGCTTGACACCAGAGCATAATACTTATGCCCGGTGAAGTTTGCCTGCGTTTGTAATAGCCGTGAATACCTTCTCTTTGAAAGATTGATACAGTGCTCTTAACCCTTTAAATTCCAAGATCTTACTGCTAACTCTCCCCTCTAGCTACTAAGCATTTCCTTGTTAATCAGTTACGAGAATTTGTTGTCAGATCAAGATGACAAATTCTACCTGATAAGTTAGTGTATTCTCATTACCCGAGAGAATATCCTATGTTCTCTTGCATTGCATGTTCGCTGGATAATGTAGGGACGTTATAGGGAGAAGTTATATGTTAATCATTTTTGGGAATTATAGTAAACCACAATAGCCACTTTTACCAAAGTAAACCAAATTATCAGCACTTTTCTCGTCACTTTTGTGCCCAAGATATCCCAAGAATAAGAAAGAAGCCACCATCCAGCATGACTGTCAAAGAGGGAAGCAATGTCTCCTTACCCTGCTACTCAAAAGGCTTTCCAAACCCAGAGGTCACGTGGTATAAAAATGGCCAGAAGTTAAACTCTGGGAAGTATAACAGAGATACAGGAATGTTAACGTTTCCCAGCATTCAATTCAGCGATCGAGGCTTGTACAGATGCGAAGCGAGGAATTTCATAGGTGTCGAGTCCGCGACTGTGAAAATTGTTGTGGAAGGTACAGGAAATTTGATATGCAATGTAATCGTTGTAATCTTAAAATTTGTTGCTTATTTACTCCGGCATCGTTATCTTCTTCTAACGATTCTTCTCTTTATTATTATCCTTATTATTACTAGTATTATTATTACTTTGTGTCTGTTATTCTATTGTGGTTATGCAATGTTGCTTAGATCTTAGATCTTAGATGAAGTTATCAATGCCGAAATTGTTGTTGATATAAGTCATCGTTATTTTCTTAGTGTTATTCTCTTTCTCATAACCATCGTTATTATTTTTATTACTGTTATTATCATTATTATTATCGTTATCATAGTTATCATTATTATAATTATTATTGTTATTATAATTATCATTATTATAATTATTATTGTTATGATCATTATTATTATTATTATTATTATTTCTATCGTTAATATGCTTCTATATCCTAATTCATGTCGTTACCAACGACGCGCCATCAATTTCCTTTACTGCATGCATTACTGGGCATATTCCCGTCAATTTGGCTCAGGTCTTCAAATGTTATTCATTTATCAATAATGGAAAACGTTATGGGCTGTAATGAGATAATCAGGTACAAAGAGTCACACTTTCAGATTTTTCAGGCGTGACTAAAGGAAGATAAGAGGTAAGTCGTTTTGATCTCAGTCTTTTTGAAGTTTGGCTTTGCTCTTTGCTTGTTCGATTTGCAGCAAAGGTTGCTCAATAATTTTTTTTAAAAAATGGTGAAGAGTGTTCGAGGAGTACTTATTTGCTTCGCTTTTTTGTTTTGTTTTGTTTTAGTGTTTTTTTTTTTTGTGTTGTAATTTCCTATGAACTATTTTTGCAGTCCCTCCCAGATTTGTTCAGGCACCAGAGACCTACCATCTGGGTTATGAAACTTGGGATACGACTCTGACTTGCAACATCTTCGCCTTCCCTCCACCAAAGATACAATGGACCCGATCATTCCGGCCGTTGCCCATTGATCGTCACGCGGTGGTTGGTAAAGATTTGGTGATCAAGGAAACTCGGAAGGAGGACAGAGGACCCTTCATGTGCCGCGGGGAAAATCACCTGGGTCATGTATATGCACTTATTGTGCTCGTTGTGAAACCTGTCAGTAAGTGAATGATTAAAAAATGTCGAAAGTGCAAAAAACCCGCTGTTATCTACAGTAAGCTTATTTCTTCTGTCCGGTAATTGTTGCTCAATCCTAGAGATCCGAGTAGTTTCTGCTTGATTGGTGCGTGACCGCAACCGTTGAAATTGCTTTCTGATCAATTAGCTCTGGAAATGATGTGCATTTCTTGCCGCTATATATCGTATGAACTCCGACCCAGGCTGAGAACCCCAAATCTATTTTAAAAAAAAGGGAAAAGATAACCTCATGGACGGCGTTGTTTCATTTTAGTGTAAAAGCTGTAATGACCGTTACTTTTGATACATACATATCAAGCATTTTATATCAAATATTTATTAGCTAATACTAGTTATTTATCCCATGGCGCAGAAGCTAATTTTGTTTCAAGAGCTCGAGATCAACCTAAGCTTTTCTTTTCAAATCTGTTTTCAAAGTCCCACCTGTGATCACTTCAGCCCCATCAACCGTTGTCAAGGTGACGAAGGTCGACGGCAGTGTTAGACTGCAGTGTGCTGCCCGCGGGTCACCTGTGCCCAGTCTAGAGTGGAGTAAGGATGGAGTGGTTATTTCAACCAACTCAACCACAAAGAATGATGAAGAAGTGAAAGGGGAGCTCTTCATTCCAACCTTTGGCCCATCTGACCAGGGAGTGTACAAATGCTTCTTTAAAAACTACGACAACGGAACTGCGGAGATCACTACCGCTGCAGGTTAGGAGAAAATTGAACAAGTATCTTAGAAGAGATAAGGAGGCATTACTAGATTTGTATACGTAAGATAAAAAATAGTACTGATGCAAAAGAGTACTTGATAAGGCAGCCTTGACTCATGTTCGAATAAATAATATCTTCTATTTGGCGCAAAAATATGCACGGATAATTGTCCGCGGACATTGTCCATTCCAAGATGCGAGCAGTTTTCCGAGAGCGAAGCTCGAAGAAAACCGTGAGCTTCGAGGAACTGATAATGTCCAAGGACATATATACGAGCATGTTTTCGCGCATAATGAAGGATATTGTGGTAAATATCGTTCACATATTTTTCAACGCGCATGAAAAGATATTTACAAACATCTTACTATTTGTCGCGTAGTATGGTGTCCTTTGAGTGTCCTCTGGTTCGACTTAATGAACAAAGAAATATTTCCCTCTTCTATAGAAACCCCAAAACGTTCTCTCATCTCGAATTAATTTTTAAACGAATTGTTTTTTTTTTTTTTTACCAAGAGGTCCATATTCCTAATTCTATATTTTTGTCATAATCTACATCAGAGCTGGTTGGATGCGGCGAGCCTCATGTTCCAGTGAACGGCTTCAAGATTGGAGAGAATTACTGGGCAGGAGAGATGGTGACTTTTGCGTGTGACGTAGGATACCACTTGGAAGGACCTACAAACAGACTGTGCTTGGAAAATGGAAACTGGAGTAACGTGATGCCGACATGTAAGAAGGAGATAACTGTAATTAAGCATACAACGAAGGATAAATTAACAAATTAATCTCATTGTTTTCTTAGGCCATCATCTTTGCGATGAACCTCCTCCTCTAGAGAATGGCTATAGAATAGCAAATGAATTTTGGGAAGGGAAAAATGTCACTTACGAGTGCAACAAAGGATACCAGCTTAGAGGACCACATGTCAGGGTTTGTAAAGAAAATGGAAACTGGACAGAAGAAGGACCATCATGTGAAGGTAACGCTTATGAGTATTGAAAGCATTTAAATTTTATCCAAGATGTGTACAAAGAAAGGTTATTGAAAAATCTTGGAATTACTCGGATCAAAATTATATCTCTCCTCAAGTGCATATATAGATTTAGACATTTCTCTGGTAATCCCCATTGAATAAATCTATGTGACTTTATAACGCCAGGTCCGGAATTCGAACATTCAGAAATCCTTCTGAACAAAACTGAATACTGGGAGCTCCTTAAAGGCTGGCTGGGTCCTGTGTCTACACTGCCAGCCAAGTGGAAGCTTTGCTACAGAGCAACTGATTATGGATGGAGTTCCAGTTCATTCCACTCGCAGTGCAATGGCTTAGGACCAACGGTGACGTTTATTAGAGTGGGAGAGTACATATTTGGTGGATACACCGACAGGAACTGGCGTAAGTAATTAGATAGCCAGGACCTTACTAGAATGTAGAAATAAGCTGCGTAAAAAAATTTCAAACCTTCAATGGGAAAAAGCACTGAGAGCCATCATATGATTTATGACTTGTCAAAAAAAAGAAACGGAAGACGAAACGACTACTCGTAAAGTAATAACTTTGTCATAACCTTTCATGTCTTAACACATTTTTGGTTAGTAACTTTACTCTGACATTTGATTGGTTGACAGCACAAAAATAATATATTTACACGATTGCCACACCTCGTTGATATTCTTTTCAATGCAAAGAAAGAGAAAAATTAATATAAAATTAGTTTAATATCGATTGATCAAATTTTTGCGGTTTTAATTTAATTCATTTTTCTCTTCCAGTCTTCTATGAACAGACAGCTTTCTTACAATGCTAATCTATTTGAAAAAGTAGGGACTTGACTTAATCCTTTCAAGGAAAAGTTCTTGAACAGTAGAGATATTCCTTAAACAGAGGATACACGGCATCACGATAGTTAGTATTTAAACAACTTAGAATGCCATATTTGCTGTTATTTGAACCTTTCACCGTCATTAGTTTCAGCTCATGATCATTTTTTGACACAATTGTTTTGATCTCCACTTGCGAGTAAATGTAATGTATGCATTTAATAGATATTTTTTAAATACATTTTCATGTATATGTTTCGTTCCGTATTGGTAAGGATCAGCTTAACCAACACTGGAATGCCATAATTTCAGCAAAAGATATCAGCAAGCAAGGAAACAAACTTAATGCCAGTTTCATGCGCACAAAACAAACATTGCAATGGACACAACTACTGCCGATTCCACATGACCATTTAAAGCATGATTTTGTTTCTTTGTTTTTAAATTCTTTCTTCGGTGAAGCATTCATGCATGTACTTTACAGCACATTCCTGATTAATTCCTGTTTTCTTCCAGATTCGGGCGGCTCATACACAGATTCAGTCAATAGCTTCATATTCTCTTTTAAAAACCATTATGGACTGGAACCATTTAAGGTTCATGTTAAGAAGAGTGATCGTGCCATGTACGGCAAAAGCAGTTACGGCCCAACATTTGGTGGTGGACACGACATTTACATCGCAAACTCTGCAGGCTACAACACGAATTCCTACACCAACTTGGGTCACAGTTATGTGCAGTTAGCCGGCTACCGGTACGGCTCGGGTGACGCGGGAAGTTTGTTGGCCGGAAGTTACAATTTCCAGCCTCATGAAGTTGAAGTGTTTTATCAGACTTACAAAGGCTAATATTTCTTTGAGGATTTTGGGTGCTAAATCCTCTAAGGAAGAAATACAAATGGTTGAAGTAGTTAAATAAAAGAGAATGTAAAGGCGAGATGGTGAACTAGACTGTGTAACTCGCAAATGATTATAGCTTGATTAGAGAACTGTAAGCCATGACTGATGGTGGACAGAATTTTTACGTTATCGCCGTCTGTCTAAATTACTAATAAACCTTTGAAACAAATTTCTCGTGTTTTTTGATTCTCTGAAAATTCTGAAATATACTTGATGCATTGCCTTATATCAAATGGCAATTTACGTTACCACAAACAATAAACATTCCTACAAATGTTTCCCTCAAAAATTTAGGCGAAAGATTTAATAAAATAATAATATTTATAATATTGTTTTCATTATGATCTTTATTCAGCCGTGAACTCTTTCATTCCCGGCGAAGAGGAGCTTTCAAATGATGAAATAAGGCATTGAATTGAGAAAAAACCGCATTATGATTAATGAATCAGCGTTCGATTAGAAAAATTTTTTCGGAACATCATGTTTATAGGTGCACATATTTTCTATGGTGGCACAGAGAGTGTGACTTACCGGCCAAAAAATACACCAACGAACAGATGGTCATCCGCCCCCTCCCCCTCCCCTTGCTCCTTTAACGCCTTACCTCCAAGGTAACCTTCTTCAAAGTGGCTGATACAACTCTTTTTTGAGTCTCAAGTCCAAAATCAGAACGAAAAAAACAATTTTTAAGAAGTGGATTAGCATCATTTTGTAGTTTTCCTAGAAAAACATGAAAGGGAAAGCTATATTCTCTTTCAGCAATCAACTAAACCAGAAAAAAAACTCAAAGTCAATAACCATCTAGTTAGTCAAACTTTCCCACGCTTCCGACAGCTTGCTTATTTTTACTTAAGCTTTCGTTATCTTCCTTACATATTTTTTTTGCTTTGACTGGACTTTCTTTGCAAGTTTGGCTTTTGTTTTAAGATGCTAAGTTGAAATGTGCTCTATCTATAGAGCACTGAAGTCATATCAGTATTTAAAGATTTGCTTGGTAAAACCTAAGGTGAAAGGGTTTGGTACATATATATATATGGTGTGCAATTAATAAATCATAACGTTTCTGCCATCTGTTACTTGAATTTTCACTATTTTGTTTGCAAGTCCATTTTCCTCATTTTTCCCCCTTGAAATGCAAGTGGGGTGTTGTTTGTTTGTTTGTTTGTTTGTTTTTTTATGCTTTCGCTAGATTTGGATTGGTCTGCGAGCAGGTGCTCATTAATGCGCGATACAGCACGAGCAGAAAAGCCTGAGCCTTCAAGTGAGGCCATTCTTTGAGAGGTCTTTGAAGGATCTGGCACTAGCAAGAAACCTTGGAGACCCCTCGCAGACCTTTTGTATCGACGAGAGCACAAGAATTAATTCGACTTTAATATATGCAATTAATTTCCCCTCGATTTTCACAAGGAGCACGTATTTTTTAATTGAACTAGAGGGGTTTTAGCACTGAGCAATCTTTTAAGAAGCAGGTAATTTTCTTGTTTACTTGAAGTCCTTATTAATATACCTAAATTCACAACTTGAATTATTATTAAACAGCAATTCATAAACATTATTTCTACTCACAGCACTGCTGGTAGCTAGCTTGAATATCATCACTGCATTGCGTACGATTTAAGTAAAATGTTCAGTGTCTTTAAACAACGAAACCTTCAAATTCCAACTCGCAGTTCGATTCAAATAGGTTTTCGATGACTGAATCATCAAGTTCATCAGTGATCTCGGTTGTAAACCAAATTGTATTTTGATCCATTCGAATTGTTTGTGATCCCACACTTAAGGAAAGAGGTAGCGATCATTTCTGACGGAATGGCTTTCCACGCTTGCGAAATCCACGAACAGATCGGTTCCTCCGAGGCCTTCTTTTGTCGTTCAGTGGCGGTAAATTCGTGAATTCCATCAGCCATCCACTGCTTTCGGACTTCATCTTCAAACGGTTTGTTCAAAGATACATCGAGCGGCTGAAGAAGGGAAGTTAACCCGCCAGGAATCACAGCAAGTTCAGTGATCTCGCGTTTGAAGGACGCTTTCACAGTATCTGTTACGTAGCTTAAAATGAGTCGTAAACAAGCAAGTTCTTTCTCCTCCCCGGGCCACTGATCCATGCACTTTTACTTTCTTTGAAGTGTGTTTTTAACGTATGCAACTTAGGACGTGCTTAACAAACAATACACGTCCGTGTATAATACGCACCGCGATTTTGATGGTTATTTTTATAGAAAAAAAGTGTGAATTATACACGGGTAAATACGGTAGTAATTAACAAACAATTTCTTACCTCTCTTTGTGCTGTTATGATCAAAGAAGATTGACTTTCATCGCTGCTTTCTTTGAGGTAGATAACGGCTTTCAGGTGTATTCACTAAATTTAATCATTGGCTGGTTAGCTTGACGTTGTTATAGCACCGAACAGGAGTCTTTGGGCGATTGTGGGCGAAGATTATGATATCGATGATGTCAAGTAAAAATCATTTGTACAACTGAGGCACTGTTTAATTCGCTTGTAGTTGGTCACTTGTTCAAAAGCGTGGAATAAAAAAGAATTCCCAATAATACACTCGCGTTGACCTTAAGCGATTGGCCTACGAGAGACTCCCCACGAGAAGGCTGCACTGGCGCTGCTGAAGGAGAACCTTGCGGGTTAATCACGAAGTCTGCAGACTAGCACAGTGGGCGGCCAAGGGAAGCGAGTTTGAGGGAACCGTGCAAGGGCTTCTCGTCGATTAGGTCCATCTATGACTACCCTTTTCCTCTTTTGTTTTATCGTTCCCTCCATTCGTTAATTAGTCGGTCGCCATTAAGAATGTATCTTAGGAATTTCATAACGGTATCTAATTCAAATGCTGCCCGCTAAAAGCTGGAATATTGTTTTGTATCATTATTAAACTATGCAGAATTATCCTATGTGCCGAATCCATTTTATTTGATACATGTAAATCTTAAACTTGGAAATTTTTTACCTGAAAAAGAGCGATTTTCTCGGTCAAATTTATGATCTTGTGATGCCGTGTGGCTGTTTCAGAGATAAAATTTTAGTACTTTCACCGAAGAAAACTTCATGAGAGTTCCGCTTTTGCTCTGGATGGCAAAATAGGATGTTGCGTTACATCAGTCGAGTTTGAACAAAGATCCTGATCACCCACCGTGAATCAAGTTTACTAAGATATCAACTTCATCATTTTTCGCTTTTAGGAGCTGCAACAAATTGTTCTTGAGGTCATTTAACCAGTGTGACAGGGAGAGATTTGTCAAATAGATGAAAAGGTAGTATTTTTTTAGAGAAACCTCTATATAAAACCCCGTACATGATTAACGGATGAAATGGCATTTGATATCGCATGAGAAATTAACTAAGCTTTTAGTGCGAGAGAAAATGACACCAACATTATCCCTCCTAAATCAACAGCTGATGCACCTATAAGTAAACTTACCTTGCGCCTCCATCTTCTCTTCAAATTGAAATTAGTACAAACCTCGCTTGATCCTCTTGACATATATGACTCTTCTTCCGGCTAACTCAACGTAGTAGAACAAGTGGTGCTTCGAACAACTTGGTCTAGAGGTAGAAGGGTCGAGCAAAATTAGACATAATTAGAAAATGATGTCAAGCAAAGGTCCAGGGTTGGAAAGAAATTAATCTCACTCAAAAAGTAGAAAAACAGTTTTGTTTGGGTTGAAAAAATGGTTTTCTACTGAGGCATTCAATTAACAACACTCTTCATTCGATTTCATCCACCGCTTTGCCTACGAGCAATAACCATGGCTTTACTTCTGCACACAAACTGGGTAATCACTTTTACGACTCGTTACGTCTTTAAAATGTGTTCAGTACGAATCCGAGTGAATCAATCTTACGTGATCTTTAATTTTACCACTGGGTTCTATCAATTATGTTCCCTATCATAGAATAACTTGGACAAGGGTTTTCTGATCCTACTTTGATTTAGCGTCACAGAGCTACTTTAATAAACAAAATACCAGTTCTTGCGCCTGAGGAAGCTATATGAACGTTCCGCCATTGCTGCGACTCACAAAACAGAGCATTGCGTTACTCTACCTTAGTAACACAAAACTCTTTCGATAAACAAAAAGCTGATCCATATTCCTGGCTAAGCTGTATGAAGGTTCCGCTTTGGCTTCGACTCACGAAAACAGGATGTTGTGTTACAATACGTTTGTCATACGGGAACAAATTGAAAATGCGTGTTCATCGCGTATCCTTTCCCTAGATCAAAATCGATATCTCCAGCTTACTCAGAGACCAAGAGAATTGCTTTCTTTTATGCTTTTGTTCTTGGTTATATTTGCCATCTTAAGTAGCAAGAACAAATAATAAAAGAAAAAAGATAATGATTACCTGACTGTTTACAACTGTATAGTCGCTAATTCATATGACCGCTCGATCAGACATTTGATATTATCAGGAGATGGATCAGGCTTCCAGTGCAAGGGGAAGTGAAACTAAAATAGTTTTTTTACCAAAAGTTTTCGATATTTTTGTGTTTTGCAGCATAAGATTGCATTTGCTTCAACTTCTCCCTCCACTTCCAGCCTGAAAACGATTCCCTTGTCGGCAGTTACTTAAAGAAAAGGTGCAATGAGGTACTTGTAAATGAAAGAACTTTTAGACCGTGATTTCATGACAAAAAACTTTAAATAAACAACGTCAGCAAACTGCAGACATGTGTTCCTGTATAATTGAGCAAGTGAGGAATGTGAGCTCGAAAAGAGCTTATTCCTGTCTGGTTTTCCACTGCTACTTAGCCGAGCAAACTTGGGCAAAGCAACATTCACTCTACTAATCAACTGAAGCTCGACAATGGAAGCAGTAAAGAAGTCGCGAGGCAGTAGTTTCTGGACTATTGCCGTGATTTTAAACATTTTATTCAGTGTGATTTCCGTAGGGTTCTTTATCTACAAAGTGCACGTGTTAGAGGGAGAAGTGTTCC